ACAATGAACAAGGGTTTGAATATTGTGAACTTACAATGAAGTATGCCTTTTTTAGGGCCTTTAGAAATTGAAAATGTTAGGCGAGGCTAAAAAAAATTGGTTTTTTTCCCAAACTTCAAAGGATGCAGAGGGAAATAGGAATGACAAACATTATTTTAGTGTTTTTTTACATAAACTAGAAGGCTCTAGCTTTAAAATGATGCATCACACAAGCATGTGAGATGTAAGATGTGTTTTTAAATAAGCAAAGACATTTGGGTATGCCCAACTTTTGTGCACGAGCCAAAATGAGGCGGTTGTTAAGAGGTTAAGACATTTAAAAACCATTAAAAGAACCTTAAAATCGATCCTGAAACACACGAGGAGCCAATGCAGCGATTTTAAAACCGGTGTAATGTGGTCCCGCCCCCTGGTCTTAGTCAGGACACGCCCCCTGGTCTTAGTCAGGACACGTGCGGCCGAGTTTTGAAGTAATTGTAAACCTGAAATGTTCTTTTTGGGAAGACCAGAGAGCAGGGCATTACAGTAGTCAATGCGACTGGTGATAAAAGCATCAGTGTCTCCGTGTTGCCCCGAGAGAGAATGGGGCGGACTCTGGCGATGTTCTTTAAATGATAAAAACCTATTTTTGTGATACTCTTGATGTGAGGAATAAAAGTCAGCTCAGAGTCAAAGATTACGCCCAGGTTTCTCACTTGTGATGATGGATTAAAAGAGTGTGATTGGAGTTTTGATAAAAGTTTCTCTCTCTGGGCCTCAGGACCGATGACTAAAACCTCAGTTTTGTCCTGGTTGAGCTGGAGAAAGTTTTCTGCCATCCAGGATCTCAGGTCTAAAATGCAGTTAAAAAGAGCATCCATTGGCCTGGTGTCATCAGGAGACATGGAGATGTACAGCTGTGTATCATCAGGAGACATGGAGATGTACAGCTGTGTATCATCAGGAGATGTACAGCTGTGTATCATCAGGAGATGTACAGCTGTGTATCATCAGAGACATGGAGATGTACAGCTGTGTATCATCAGGAGACATGGAGATGTACAGCTGTGTATCATCAGGACATGAGCAGCTGTGTATCATCAGGAGATGTACAGCTGTGTATCATCAGGAGATGTACAGCTGTGTATCATCAGGAGATGTACAGCTGTGTATCATCAGAGACATGAAGATGTACAGCTGTGTATCATCAGGACATGAGCAGCTGTGTATCATCAGGACATGTACAGCTGTGTATCATCAGAGACATGGAGATGTACAGCTGTGTATCATCAGGAGATGAACAGCTGTGTATCATCTGCAGAACTGTGGAAGTTGATTCCATGTCTCCTGATGACATTTAAAAGGGAATGGACGGTGGGAATGAATAAGAGTGTGTTCAAGTGTCTATTAAAATATCTGGACTTTAAAAGGTTATAGCTCATAAACTGAATTGACTCTCATAGATCAGAAAACAGACATAGACACATAGAAGAGATACTGTAGTGTGGATAAAATGAAAGGGAAAAATTGACAAATACTTTTTTTGCTAAATTTTAAACAACCAGATCAGCTGTCGATTGGATAATTCTACTGTGACTCAGTGACATAGAAAATGGATGAAACAATGAAAGATACAAGTGATCTAATGTATGAGCCTCCTCCACACCTGGTTTCCTCTCAGTGGAATGGCACCAGTGTCTCTGTGTGCAGTTTAAGTTGAGTTTTTCTACCATTTCTTAAGTTATTAATTGATAGTAATTTTCCACTACAGCAGCCGCAGCCGTCCCACCGTGGCTGGTGTTCCCGGAGGTTAAGTGTCTGACAAAAGTATAAGAATGGAACTAGCTAAAAGTAGAAGAATAAAACTAGCTCCTACTCATTCCCTGTTCCGTGGCAGATCTTTGGGGGTTTCTTTCTCTCTCTCTGTAAACCCAAACATGTATCTGCTGTTGTTGATACGTGTTTTACGCTGACCATCTGTTCGTGCAGATGGGGAGAGGACGTTAGCTTCAGGCGAGACGCGACGCAAGCTTTTAGACACATCATCAGAACCAGCGACAAGCGACGCAGCTGAGGCTCTGTCACAGTTTACCCAAAGAGAGAGAGAGAGACGGGATTCTCTCAGGCGTGACCCACTGAGGACACGGCCGCAAAATATTATACGCATACTTTTCACTTTTTAACATGTGCACATTTCCGGTCCTTTCCCACTCCCTGAGATGGGATCATATTGATGCATGTATATTACTCCACAGCGAAATGTATAAAGTTTGATCTTGTGTTTTCTTATCTCAAATGCAGTTGAATAGGAGAACATTTTGGATCTAGGTAGGAAGCGGCACAGTGGAGTTTGCATGTTCTCCCCGTGCCTAGGTTTCCTCTGGGTGCTCCGGTCTGGAAAGTGGACCGCAGGCTGTGAGCTTCCTGTTCTGGAGGTTCTTTATAAATCCAGACTTTTAAACCGAGTTCTTAAAATCTTAAAATGACTCTTCTGGCCACCCTGGTAAAGCCATGTTCCAGCTTCTTCCCTCGGGCAGATTTCGGCCGCTGAGATGCAAGACATCTCGCTATGCTAACAGGTTCTTCCCTAAAGCTGTTGGTGTCTGACCAAAGCACTTTAATTGTTGTTTTCACTCCTTGTATTGTTTTTTGTCGTTCGGTGTATTTGTTCAGTGTTTGTGTATTTTATTTTGTATAGTGCTGTTTATTCTGTCGGTGCTCACTGAGTACCTGTTTTTGCAAATGTTTCCCAATGTGTTTTTTATACTGCACATGGCAAATAAAATGAGTCTGAATCTGAAATCCTCCAGCTCTGGTCCTGACCACGAGCATCAACATCTGGAGTCGGGTTCCCGGGCTCTGTTACTACGGCAACCACTGCTCCTGATATACGCCCTAGTGGTATCAGGATGGGTCAAATGCAGAGGATGAATTACCCTACACCTTCACCTTTACCTTCATATTGGTTCAAAAAAACAGCCAACTTTATTCAGGGTACGTTCTAAAAAATAATCAGCAATAAACAAAATCCTCTCAGTAGCAGCTGTGGCAAGGCAAGTTTATTTGTATAGAACAGTTCATACCAAGGCAACTCAAAGTGCTGAACAAAACAAGAAAGCATTAAAATCATAAATAATCACAGAACTTTAAAAAGAAAGATAAAAATATAAAATCCCTCAGTTGTATGCACAGCTGAACAGAACTGTCTTTAACCTGGTTTTAAACATTGTCAGAGAGGAGGCCTGTCTCACATCTTCAGGAAGACTGTTCCAGATTTTTGTTCCTGTGTCCATCTAACCCCTAAACATCCGTCTAAACATCTGCAATCGCTAATTTATTTAATGTCTCATTCCTTCTTGGCGGGTGATACATTCGTGGGCCTGGTTAGTCCTGTGATGGGAGACCTCTGGGAACACCAGATGCCACAGTGGGACGGCTGCGGCTGTAAAATGCCAAACTGTGTGAATGGTTGGTGGTGGTGGGAGGGGCCGATGGCACAGACTGTAAGTAAGTAAGTTTTTATTTATATACCGCCTTTTCACTGCAGATCTGAGCCTCAAAGCGGTTTACAATTGTTAATTTTTGGGCATTTGTCTCTCACTCCACACAGAGATGGGAGCGGGGCCAGTACAGGAGGCGCATGCCAGAACTATTGGACATATTTTTAGTGGTAGGGGAAACCGGAGCACCCGGAGGAAACCTACGCAGACACGGGGAGAACATGCAAACTCCACTCAGAAAGGCCCTGGTCCGACCGGGATTCGAACCCAGGACCTTCTTGCTGAGAGGCGAGAGTGCTATCCACTCAGCCACCGTGCCTCGCTTCTGTCAGTGTGCCCCAGGGCAGCCGTGGCTACAATAGTAGTGTAAATCCACCGTGTATGGAGCGAATAATGTCATGGGACGGCTTCTTGAGTGTCCAAAAAAGCGTCATTTATAAACTTTGTATAAACGAGAGGATTAAAACTATATATATAAAATGTATCAATGAAATGTATCTGTTTTCGCATGAATGTAAAAGCAAACACAAGCTGTTAATGCCCTGGTGTAGTTTATGACTTAATCCCGTACATGTGTGTTTCATTGTGTGATATTCTTCAAGGTTATTTCTTCTAAACCCGCCCCCCCTCAGCCTCTCATCTCACCTCCGCCTCAGCCCCATTAAACAAACAGCGTCATTCTTCGACCTGGGAACGCCATCTGCGGCCTATCGCTCCGCACGTCTCCAGCCGCCCTCTCCGATTGGCCTCCCCACCTGTCCGTCAAAAGCCCTGGACCCGCGCTTGTGCATGCACAGCAGGCCTGGCTCTACGGCCTCTCCATCCTGATGAGCTCCGAACACATGCAGAGATACTCGGGCCGGCTTTCAGAAGTGAACGAGCCGCGGGGCTAACAAGACATTGAGCGAGGGAGAAACACGGCATTAGCATGACATTAGCATGACATTAGCATGCGCGAGTCAACAAGCCGTGTTTACCCGGGTCACAGCGGGCCGGGCTGATGGGGGATGGATGGGGCGACGTACGTTACTGTGACAGTAAGTTAGAATCTGTGCAACATTAAGAGATCCTTCATTCGTCCCACTGTAGGGAAATTTCAGGGTTGCATCGCCAGTTAAAGAACAGTAGGAATGGGGAGCACACAGCACAAGCAGAGTCCGTCCGTCTCCTTCACGGGTCTCTGGCTTTTGAACACAACATCACAACAACTGAACTTAAAAACAGAAAGGATATTTAAATGTTGTTTGTTTTCACATTTTTGTATTTTATTTTATTTTTTTCATTTTTATTATTGCTGTCCATTGTGTGTCTTGTTGCGTTGGGTTTAGTGCCCTCCCTGTATCAATAAAGACACAGAAAACAATGGATAAATAATAGATTTCTCAATTTGACAGGACGTGTTTCTGTGTGTTCAAGAAAATCTGTCTCTTTAGAAACTACAATAACACTCTTTCCAGTTTTTTTGTGCAACTTATTTGTATGAAAGGTTTAGTCCTGGTTCTGTCCTGGTTCAGTTCTGGTTCAGTCCTGCTTCAGGTGGGTGATGGGGGGTGGGGGCGGTGGGTGATGGGGGGTGGGGCGGTGGGTGATGGGGGGTGGGGCGGTGGGTGATGGGGGGTGGGGGCGGTGGGTGATGGGGGGTGGGGCGGTGGGTGATGGGGGGTGGGGCGGTGGGTGATGGGGGGTGGGGCGGTGGGTGATGGGGGGTGGGGGCGGTGGGTGATGGGGGGTGGGGCGGTGGGTGATGGGGGGTGGGGGCGGTGGGTGATGGGGGGTGGGGCGGTGGGTGATGGGGGGTGGGGCGGTGGGTGATGGGGGGTGGGGGCGGTGGGTGATGGGGGGTGGGGCGGTGGGTGATCGGGGGTGGGGCGGTGGGTGATCGGGGGAGGGGCTGTGTGTTTGTACAGCAATGGCAGAGGTCAATACCCGATGATGGAGAGATGAGACGCGACGTGAGAAGGACAGTGGGAGGTCGGCGTCTTGTGCTGAGTTCAGGTTTTCACACTAAAACATCAGTGTCCCCAGGAGTTCGTGAGTTGCATTTTTTCCCAGAGACGCTCCGGGCTTGTCTGTCACCGCCGCTCCCAGAGGACAGGAAGGCGGGGGAACCGGGGTCGGATCAGACTGCAAAAAACATGAGATTTATAAGGCGTCTGCAAAAGTCTGGCATTTCAAATTAAAAACGCAATATACGCAACTTTTCTCTAACATTTTCCCAATACACAGCTTGTGTTAGCCTGGTCTTACCACACCATAGTACAAATGACATTTCATACTAAGGTCTGGATTTGCTCCATTGACTCCGTGAACAGGTGGGAGGGGCTAACTGCTTTAGCAGATTGAAACCATTGGATCTGAGTAAGCATTTAGCCTAGCTTTAGCATCTCCTTTGCCGCTAACGGAGCCCGTGGGGAGTAGCACCACAATTTTTTCCCAGAGATTACATTTGCTAAACATTCCTCTTGCTCCGGCTTCAGTTTCTTGATAGAACCAGACCAGAATACAATACAATACACAATACAATACAATTTATTCTTGTATAGCCCTAGGTCACAACAGAAGTCATCTCAGAGGACTTAACAAAACCATTGAAATCACCAACACAGGTCAGAGAATCAACAGTTAAAACACATGAAGAATATAAAGCACACACAGAAGAAAATGTCCATACATGTTGTAGAATGCTAAAGTGTCCTGATCATCACCAATCCTTTCTGTTGGACACTAACTGTCCAACAAGACCCTCCTGCATCGACAAGGAAAAACTCTTAAAAAACCCAGTGGGAAAAAGTGAGAAACCTTGGAGGAGAACTAGGGAAACCCACAGGGAGGGAGACCCATATGAGAAAGGGATGAGTAAAGAATACTTTACTATCACATTTTTCACCAAACTACAACCTGCCCGTTCGACGCAAACTCTTAACGTCACCCACAACTAACTACAACACCCGCCTCCCGCGCTCTCTGATTGGTCGTTCGAAATTCAACAGATTGTAATCCCAAACACAGGGACCAGACCCAGACGTTACAGGCAGGACATGATGATGGACCAGAGAGTACGGATGGATAAAGCCTGGTTCACACGGCAGGATATTTAGGCCGATTTAGACCCGATTTACCCCTTACGACAATCTTAAGAAACGCTCCGATTTCCGTAACAAAGTCTTACAGATTATCCTGCCGTGTGTGGTGTGTTAAGACTGCACTCGTCGCTCGGAAGGACATCGGGACTGCTCCCGATCTCAAATCGGGGATATCCAACATGTTGGATTGTTTTGGCCCGATTTCTCTTCGTGTGTGGTGTCCTCCGAGGACAGACGTGCGCGTTGCCATGACTGCGGCGTGTAGCCAATCAGAAGACGAGACGAGGCGGTGAGGAAACGCCTCCATATCACGATGTAGCAAGTATAGTCCATGCTCGTGTTGTCTACACTTCTTTGACCATCGCCTTTTCTTTTGATTACGTCTTTTCTCCGATAAAAACAAACTATCGCCAATGCATCCTCTTCGTCCGCCATGTGTGTTTACTCTGAAGTCACGCTTGATCTCGCGAGACCTGAGATTTCCGTCTGATCTGTGAATACTCGGGGGGGGATCGGTTCGTGTGTGTTTTGCGTGATTTTTGCCGTGTGGCTGCGCACCACACACTGTACGACCAAAGTGGTTAGACCCGTGATTTTTTATCTCCCTGTGTGGGGTCTCACACAGAGAAAAATCGGCCGACAATTTTAAAATCGTCTCGTGTGAACCAGGCTTAAGACCACTGAGGCTTGTGTGGATACAGCCAGAAGTCCCTGAAATGTTGTTTTTCTGGTAATTCTCTATGCTATCTGTTCAATTCTCATTCATTTATGATACAGCAGTTTATCAAATGGATGTTGAATCAGATATAGAGTAGAACGACGAGAACAAGGACGATTTTGGATTTTGTGAGCGGAGCAGAGAATATATTAGTGCAAAGAAAGGCCATTTTGTTTGACTGTTTGACCATTCATCTGCGAGGCTACTCACAGTGCTTCACCAAACAAGACATATTGGAAACATAACAAAAGAAAATACATTCTTAATACATTGAGAAAAATGGTCCAGTATGTTCAATTTAAACTTCACAAACTTGTCGATTCACCAACGACAGATCAGAGAATCAAATCAAATCAGAGGAAATGCAATAATAACAAACACAATAGGGAGTGGGATGACCAAAGTCCATAAATATGTGATTCTTTTTTATTTTTGCTGCTACTGGACACCTGAATTTATCCTATAGGGATCAATAAAGTATCTATCTATCTATCTATCTATCTATCTATCTATCTATCTATCTATCTATCTATCTATCTATCTATCTATCTATCTATCTATCTATCTATCTATCTATCTATCTATCTATCTATCTATCTATCTATGTACTGTATCTATCTATCTATCTGAATGCCCTTAATTAAATGTACCGGATCATCGACTGTCGACCATCTGCATTGGCTGGGATCAACTCAAGTGTGAAAAAGTGAGCTCAGGCTGTAGAACATGGAACGGGGATTCAGCCCAGGAGTCCGGGCTGGGAGGGACCAGACTGCATAAAGTTGTATGCATGGTGAACCTAGACTTGAACATAGTCAAAGGCCAGTCCCTGTGCTCCTGGTTTGGCACTAACACGTCACAGATGGACTTTGGTGCGAGGCCATGGAGAGACTTGTCACAAAACAGAGCTGCTTTAGAGTTTATTCTCTGAGCCTCAGGAAGCCTGGACCTGAACCCTCCACAAGTTTAGTTTCAAGTCACGATTTCTGGCTTTAAATCGTCTGTAATTAAGATAATAATGAAAGGGTCCTTCTTTCTCGCATTGACAGAGCGTTTACTCCGCTGTGATAATGTCTTAATTATCTCTATCTTATCTCATTAGCTCTATACAAAGCTCTGTTTCCAACTTAACACTTCAGCAGGCGTCGCACAAACTGCAGCTACAGCAGTTTTCATCAGCGACGTGACAATCATTCACAAGTTTAAAATGTTTCCGTCTTAGATTTGGATCTACGCCAGCTCCATGTCTGTTTCTGACGTGGAGACATTGTTGTAATTCTTTGTTCTATGTCATACGACTGCAGGTTTGAAACTTTAGACAGGAGTTGCCAACAGAAAATGATCGTAGGGTTTGAAGAATGTGAGCTTACAATGAAGTCTGCCATTGCTACTGTCTTTCTTCATATTTTAGGCAAAGCTAAAATAAGTTTTTTTCCAAACTTCAAAGGATGCAGAGTGAAATAGGAATGACATTATATTTTAGTGTATATTTACATAAACTGGAAGCTCTAGCTTTAAAATGATGAGTCACACAATCATCTGATGTGTAAGATGGGTTTTTAAATACGCAAAGACATCTGAGTATACTTTTGTGCATGAGCCAAAATGAAGAGTCTGACAAGAGGTTAAGACTCCCAGAACTCTGAAACTAACAGGACTCCCGTAATTTTGACTGCTCCCATTCAAATCAATAGAATTATGAGAAATTCCCCAAAAAAGTTAAATTGTCTATATTTTATTTTATTTATATTTTTACTTATAGCTTAGACTGGTGCCTGCAACTTAAAATACTGCAAAAAACCCTTATTTGAAATTCTACCAAGTTAATAATTTGGTAGAATCACTCATTTGAGTAATGACAGCTCCTAAATTACCAGCCGTCAATTTGACTGCCACAGGAGTTCTTGTGTGTTGAGGCGACAGTGGCTCAGTTGGTAGAGCATGGGCCTGTAGGAGGTTGTGGGTTCGAGCCCACCACAAGACCAACTTCACGACTCCTGATGTCTGCTGCCATTGTGTCCTTGGGCACTTAACTGCACTGTGCCTGAAGCCCCAGTAGCTCAGACTAGAGCAGCCGTCCTCTGGGAATTCTAATCGTTTCATAGTTCTGGGGTTTTTTAGGAAAAGAAGTAAGTAAGTAAAACCAGAGTCAAAGCAGTTTACAGTTGTGGGCATTAGTCTGTCACTCCACACAGAGATGGGGCCAGTACAGGAGGCACAGACCGATTGTACATGTTTTTAGTGGTTGGGAGTAGGGGGCGACAGTAGCTCAGTTGGTAGAGCATTGGCCTTAAGCCCAGAAGGTCGTGGGTTCAATTCCCACCTCTGCACCTTCTCCACCGACTCCCACTGATGACTGCTGTCGTTGTGTCCTTGGGCAAGACACTTAACCCCACTTTGCCCAAAAAGCTCCCACTGAAAGATCAAGGCTATGCTCACACTCAGAGAGCAGCCGTCCTCCTGTGGACTCACCACCTGCAGAGGGTCAGTGAGGGGCTGGTGCTATGAGACTTGGGTGGCATCTCTGACTGCCACCCCCCTGACCCAGAAATGGATTAAAGGGTAGAAAATGGATGGATGGATGGGAAACCGGAGTAACCGGAGTAACCGGAGTAACCGGAGTAACCGGAGGAAATCTACGCAGACACGGGGAGAACATGCAAACTCCACTCAGAAAGGCTCTGTTCCGACCGGGATTCGAACCCAGGACCTTCGAGTCCATAAAGACCATCTATTAAAGGTGACTGCTGCGAGGGCCTGAACTAGAATGAAGTTTATTCATATACAGGATTCATGAACAAAACAAGACAAGAGGGGTTGATCCGATGAGTCCAGTTTCAGATTACAATCAGTACAAGATCAGCGCCATGGTCTCGCAGACTAAACCAACGGAACGAGAACACGGCTGGAACTTCTACCTGATGAAGTCCAGTCCTGTTTGGTGATCCCCGCTCAATAAAGCCAATGGGAGAGAGATGATGACAGTGTCTATGTAGGTCAGGCCTGGGTTTGGGGATTATCCGCTCTCCGGCTTCTGCAGTGGCCTCTTTGTAAACATGAGCTGCCTTTTTTTGTGTATTTTTTATTTATTTTTTTCCGCTGCGTCAATGCGGGTGATGTCGCCATGGAAACAGACTCTACCTGCCTGTTCTTCTCCACGTCTATAACAAAAATGACTTCAGGTGCAGAAACTGATGGAGCGAGATTTGTAAAGATGGAATCAGACTGAAGGAATGGGACCAAACTGGGGTCAATACAAGATATGAGTCATGCCGCAGGACAGAACCAGAGATTGGGATTTGGTATAATGGTGTGGACTTTTTCAATACTTTCACATAGTAGTACTTTGATGTATTAGTTCTTTTCAGTGTTACTTACCTGTGTGTTCAGCTGATGTGTGTATTTAAACCCTGCACGCCGCTCCACTTGTTGTTGGTCATTTGTGTTTTTGTCCCTTGAGTTTGGGAGTTCTGCTACATCCCAGATTAGGTTATTTTTTAGTTATGTTTATTTAAGGGCACTTTTATATTGGCCAGTCCTGCATTCTGGGACTATCTTCTGTTTTTATCACCCAACAAGATGACAATAACACTTTTCCTGAGTCTCCATAAGAAGCAGAAACTTGAATGAAAGAACGCTTTACCACTGACTATAGCCATGATCAAGCATACTGTAGTTCAACCTTCATTCTTTAGCATTTAGCCTAGCTTTAGCATTTAGCCTAGCTTTAGCATTTAGCCAAGCTTTAGCCATCTCTTTTACCACAAACGGAGCCCGTGGGGAGTATAGCCAACGACATTTGCTAAACATTCCTCTTGCTCCGGCTTCAGTTTCTCGATATTTGGATTGAACCAGAACAGATTATTTTACTATCGCATTCTCCGACAAACTACAACCAGCAAATTCAGCACAAACTCTTGACGTCACCGACACCGACCTACAACACCCGCCTCCCCCGCTCTCTGATTGGTCGGAGGAGATTCAACCGAGGAAACTGCAGCCACTAGGATCAGACCCAGACGTACATGTAGGAAATGACCATGGACCAGAGTTTACACATGGTAAGACCAGACGTACATGTAGGAAATGATCATGGACCAGAGTTTACACATGGTAAGACCAGACGTACATGTAGGAGATGACCATGGACCAGAGTTTACACATGGTAAGACCAGACGTACATGTAGGAGATGATCATGGACCAGAGTTTACACATGGTAAGACCAGACGTACATGTAGGAAATGATCATGGACCAGAGTTTACACATGGTAAGACCAGACGTACATGTATGAAATGATCATGGACCAGAGTTTACACATGGTAAGACCAGACGTACATGTAGGAAATGATCATGGACCAGAGTTTACACATGGTAAGACCAGACGTACATGTAGGAGATGATCATGGACCAGAGTTTACACATGGTAAGACCAGACGTACATGTAGGAGATGATCATGGACCAAAGTTTACACATGGTAAGACCAAAGTTTACACATGGTAAGACCAGAGTTTACACATGGTAAGGTCTGGCTAGAAAAGAGCCTGTCTGAATTGGAAAACCTTAAATAGTAAATCAATCAATCAATCAATCAAATTTTATTTATGAAGCGCTTTTCATACAAAAGATGCAACACAAAGTGCTTTACAGTTTGGTTAAAAACAATCCCGCCGGCCCATGTCCCCTCCCCCCGACCACCCAACAGACCCATCCCAAACCACAGACAAACGCACACACGCACACACACACACACACACACACAAGTAAAACAGTAAAACAATGATGAGAGACTTACGTCTCTCATCAAATACGTCTTTAAACTCTTATACTGTTGAATCACTGCGTCCGTTTTCAGCCGTTGCTCACTCTCTGCAGAATTAAAACAGCATTGCATTACTAGATCCAGTCACAGATGAGTGGCGATAATTGATATTTTCCACTTGTCCCCACAGTTTTCTAATGCATGTGATTAAATCCTCGTCTGACCAAGCTGCCATTAAAGGGGCGGCGTCATTTCGATTATTATACCTTCAGTCAGCAATCGCTACCCACTTCTGAACATTTTTATAAACACAGATAAACAGTAACTTACCCTTTAAGGAAACGCAGCTCTGTTCCAGCCCCGCAGATGGATATATAGTTTTCATATCAAACTAAATATTCTCCGGTTTATGTGATGTGTTTTTAACGAGATGTAAATGACCAGCGAGTGAGCAGACACTATTGTTGCTGATTACGGGCTTATGATAATTAGAGCCGTGCGCTGGTGATGCTGTTACTGCCAGATTAAGAGCGATTTTATGAAAGAGTCAAAGTTCTGAGTGTGTTCCTTTTTCATTCTGACTGCGGTGAGTGAATAGTTGTATCACTTGAGTTAATGTCATTGTAGAGTTAAGGGGATTATAGTCCAAATGATCTTATCAACCTCAGTCTCCTTCTAGTTTTGCAAATTTGGTTTCATTTTAGTCATTGCGGCCACCATTATTCTCCTTTCTTCTCCTTGTATTTTAAGCAACACCTGTCTCAATACTTGCATGTGAAAGCCAGATCCTGTCAGACCTGTGAAGCTAAGTATGGAAGGTCCTGGTTAGTGCTGTGATGGCAGACCACTTGGAACAGCAGGTGCCACAGTGGGGCGGCTGTAAAAGGCTGGTTGCTTGTAACTGTTGCTGTGTCCTTAGGCAAGACACTTCCCCCACATTAGAATGAGTCTGGTGTGTGTGTGAATGGTTGGTGGCGGTGGGAGGGGCCGATGGCACAGACTGGTTGCCTCGCTTCTGTCAGTGTGCCCCAGGGCAGCTGTGGCTACAGTAGTAGTTTATCACCACCGTGTTTGGAGAGAAAGAATAATAACATGTGAAGCCTGTTTGAGTGTCCTCTGACTTTAGCATGATAAAGCAAGTATAGCAAGTATAAATCATGTATATTCTAGTGCATGAATGATATAATGGTAATACATGTAAATAGACATCAATCAAAACTATTCCATGTTCCATACGTTCCCATGGCTGTACACTTCAATTTGAGTTCAATTAAACGTATTATACAGCCCTATATCACAACAGTAGTTGACTCGAGCAGGACTTTACATGCTGTCGACTCTCCATCACAGATCAGAGAATCAAACAGGAAATATAATGATAAAAAACACACTGAGCCATTGGTCCATAAAGGGC